GATTTTTTTAGAAACAAAGAAAAATAGTGCTGGATTGTCATCGTTTGATATGCTAGCAAATGTTCTCCTCACAGATGAGGAAAAAACTAGAGGCAACAGAAACGCAGTTGTACAGAAAGATACTGAAAATTCCATCAACAGAGCAAAGAAGGAAGTCTCAAAGAAAATGGCAACAGATAGAACATTTATACTCAGAATCAGCAAAGAGAACTGAAATTCCTTGGATGTATAATAAGGAAGGAAGGCTTAGAAAACTTAATCGCCACAGGGTTGTTATAGACAAGCGTATGGTTGCAAGAAGGAAATACGACAACAGTAGAAATAGATTTACGTGGTTTATTTCAACAGGAACGTGAGGGTTTGGGACAGCTACCTTGTGGTAAAGTTCATAAGTCAGCTTCAGATCTAGGTCAATCTCTCATAGTAGTTCACACATGTTGACGGTGGTTGATGCTCTCCTGCTGCTGATCGCCCTGACCGTGACAGGTCTGTTTTGCGGCCACCTGTCGACTGACCGTTGAACTTCCGTGTGACCCCTTTTATAGTATTTTTTATGGCTTAACAGGCTCGAAAAACGAAGCGAGTATAATTAGGAGGGAAGTATTTTTATTGGACGAAAAATAGAGCACTTTATTTTATTTTTCGACCGGAACACGTGTGTCAGGAACATTTGTAAAGAAAGATAATGGTCATTTTGTGACGGGGCTTTGTCCCGTTTACATCCGGTTCTCGCTCTTGAGTATTTGCCTGTAAATCAGCCAAGATATGTCTTATTTTATTTTATAACAGGGTTTATTGAGAGCAAAATAGCGGAAGGTAGCGAGCCACTTACCTGATGAGCTCATGTGAATGGATGATCAAACAGGGTTGGGGGGGTTCTTTAGCAAAGGGAGAGAAACTAATAGGAAGTTATGGAGAGTCATCATCGCCTATCTTTTGAAGGGATGTGGCACAGAGAAGAAGAAAAAGAATTTTACTGACTCAGTGATTGAACTCATAACCACCAGGTAACTTAATTCACTTAACCAATAACTTGTTTAATGGTGTGAGATCTTATGCAACTCAAGGATTGTTCATTAAATACAAAAGTATTGACACTTATTTATTAATTTCATAAAGATTGCCGTGGGTGATAAGAAACATTTAACCTCAAAAGAGAACCAAGATATAAAGTATTCAGCTGCACCTGCTGAGGCAGCTAAGGTAGTTGAAGGGGGAGTGGTTTATCTAAATTAACATTCATCAACTCTTAGAAAAAAGTGTTGGTCAGTGAGAATTTGAGCAAATCACTTTTCATCAATAATAATTGTGGCATACCAATAATGAAACAGGCTATCAAGATACGTGGTAATAGAGCAGATTGAGTTTTTACTTTTTCTTTTTTGGAAAATCAACATTCCACCAGATGTGAAAGCTGGCATTTGATGTGATAATGACTGACACTGAAAATTTAATTCATAGCTTTTATCAATTTTTGAGCATCTGAAAAAATGTACAGAAATACCTAATTTCTTCAGGTTTTTTGCTTATAAACTAACTTTAAAATTTTATTATTTCAAGAATAAATCCAAATAAAGTTGATATTTTTTGTATTAGATACATCAAATGGAAAATATATTCAAACCAGAATTCTAATTGTGAATCACCACAAGCAAAATATGCATTTTTCTTTTTTACTGGATTCAATAAATAAAAACTGTAAAACAAAAATTTGTAAAGATTACAAAAAAGGCTCCTCAGTGAATAAGATTCGTTAGATCATAATTAATAAAAACAAAAAAATAGATAAAACATAACACCATAATACTGCTGGGAACAAATTATGACAAAATACTTTAAATTTGCATCGTTTATTGAAAATTTCACTGAAACTATTGCACTGTATAATATATTAAATCGTAATATAACTAAATTGTTTAGTATAATGATGGTCTTATTTGATGGCACAATGATTTAGTAATAATGTGTTTGTGCCTTGCTTCTTGTCGAAATACAATTTGTAAAGCTTCAGTAAATTATAAATTTTATAAGGCTGTGCTATAAGGCTTCCACTGATCACCAGAATTAAATTCCAATGCTAAGAATTTGAAACTAAACTTAATCTTTAAACTTGTTTCCTAAAAAATGGTAATGATTTGGAAGAAGATATTTTTTTCCATTATTTATCATGTCAAATCCAAACATTCAAATTGAGTGCAATGCCACAATTCCAAAATTAACCTGCCCTAACATGGTAATTGAGCAGAGCACAGGCAGAAGAGGATTCATGCCTTATCAAAAAAAAAAAAGAAGTTAAGGAGTGGGATTTTCAAGTTGGTTTACAGATGTTTTTGGAAAAACATGGAACAACTTTGTAAAATGAAATGAATTCACTGTCCATGGAAAGGAAAAAGATGGTTTTGTAATGAAATAAAACTGTGAGGAATGGAGTTTGCGATTGTGTGACATGAGATTCTGAGTAATAAGGAATCCTAGAATCCTGGGCACAATCTTATGACACATCAATGTCTGTGGGAGTCATGTAGTGTCCAAGTCATTACATTAATTAAACAGACGACTGTATATGCTGTTGTCGGCGAGACTTAATGGCCAACAGCATAGAAAATGGAATTGGTTCAAATCCTAGCTATGACAATTTGTATTCATTTAGCACTAATGCCTTTGAGAGAAGAACTGAATTCATTTCTTATTTACCCCACCAGTTTTGAGTAAATAGAAGTGAAGACTGAGTAACAGCTAGTCTCAGAGAAAGACAACCAATTGGATGTAAGGCTAGAATTTATATTTCTTATTTCCAACCTTATTTTCAATCTTAAATATTAATTTGGACTGAAATTCAAAATTAAACTACAATTTATTTAAATATTTTAACAACAATAAAGTATCTCACAAAAAAAACAAATTTTTTTAAGAATCCAATGTCAACTGAAAATAAACATAATTCCAGCATTTAACAATTAAAACTCAGAGTTGTGCAATTAATATAAGATATTATCTACATTTCTTAATATATATATATATTCAATAACTCCATTATTTAACATTGAGCAATGTTTTTCTTACACTGTAGAGTATTTATATATATTTCTATATGATTACTTGCTCGTATACCTACCTATATTTACCCATTCAGCTATATATATATATATATATATATATTTTTTTTTTTTTTTTTCTGGAAATATAATTATTACTATTGTCCCCCCTCAGCAAAGGATACTTTATTTTTAGGTGTTGTTTCAAGCTGGTGCTGCTTTTATTTTCTGTTTTGTTTGAGGTCAATATGTGTTTTGAAAGTGTTGTAGTATTTGTATATTTTTTGTTATTAGATGACATTTTGTATGTGTAGCTTCTGTTTCCAGGTACATTTTTATTAGTTTAATATATTTTATGTTGACTACTAAAAGATCAGAAGGAAAATACAGAAAAAACATATAATAATAAATGTCATCTTCTTGCAGACATAAGTGATCATAACTCTATATATTTCTTCTCTTTATTATCTGTGAATTTTTTCCTCATTTTCCCAAGGCTATTAGTGCAATATGAATTCAACAGATTGATATGAAGCTTGAACTGTTGATTCCATTTTCTGTATCAATAACCTTTACGTAACGGATTCTCTTCCAGCTCCTATCCCACGAAAGCAGGTGTTCCCCAAGGCTCCATCCTAGGCCCGACTCTGTTCCTTATCTTCATCAACAATCTTCCAGATACCATTGATTCCCAAGTAGGCATATACACGGACGACACTACAATTTACTCATGCCTCAAAAACAAATCTTGTGTGGCTGACAAAACTAACCTGGCCATTCATCTCGAAAAGGACTTCCAATCGGTCGTGTACTGGGGCAGTAATTGGCTGGTTAACTTTAATACATCCAAAACAAAACTGCTCTCTATTAATCACCACAGAGATCCTTCCCAGCCCCCCATTAGAATGTCTGATGCTCAACTTCCCGAGAGCACCTCTCTGTGGCTGCTCGGTCTCACCTTGTCTACTGACCTGAGATGGAACAAATACATTGAGTCGATTGTTTCGTTGACTGCAAAGAAAGTTAGCTCCTTGTGCAGCGCCAGGAAATTTTTCTCCCCGGAATCGAACCTTCAAATTTACAAATCAACCATTCGCCCTTGCATGGAGTATTGCTGCCATATATGGTCTGGAGCCCCTACTGTTTGCTTCAGGGTTCTTGATAAGATCCAGAGATGAATATGCAATATAATTGGATACTTGGCCCGGATCTGGCATCTCGTCTGCAGTCGCTCTCTCAAAGACGCACTATCGCCTCTCTCTGTCTTTTTTACAAATACTTTCATGGTAATTTCTCTGATGAGCTGCTTTCACTGGTTCCCAGACTTCACGAATTCAAGCGCCCTACAAGGCTGACATCCCGCTCTCACTCTTTCACTGTTGAAACTGTTAAATGTAGCCGTCTCTTCTACTCCAATAGCTTCATATCTTGCACCTCTCGCCTGTAGAACTCCCTTCCCTATTCCTGTTTCCCTGATAGCTATAATCTCCATCTATTTAAATGTAATGTCAATCGACATCTCCAGTTGCCTCGATCTATCCACTATCCTTCTCCTCATCCTTTCCTCTATCACTCTTATCTGATCTTGCTCCAAATCCTCTATAACCCCTTGTGTGCTAGTGGCTTCCTGCCTTGCTAGGGGTGAAATGCTTAAAAAAAAACCTGCACATCCTTCCTAACGATTGATGTTAAATTTTCTTTTTTTTGATACTATTTAACAACTATTTAAATTGTGAATTTCCTCCATTAGTTGTATAAAAATTGTAGTCAAGTTGATGATTCATAAAAACACAGATGAATTTTTTTCTCTTGTTTGGAATCAGTGTTCACTTCAACAGAGCATGTTAAAAGTTGCCTGACTCAACATTAATTAGAAATTGAGATATTTTAACATTTGTTCCCTACACAACTCTGACTGTTTAGTAGAGTACCAAAGGCATTTAAAAATGATTTGAAGAACCTTACCTGTTTTTCATGAAGAGCTTCCAGGTCCACTTTGTCTTTTTCATATTTGTACTCCAGTTCCTAAGAAATAACGAAAAAAATGAATAGAGTTTTGAAGATAAAATTTCTCCCACATATTCTTGTCAGTTCTAAAATCTGTTGTGAATATTTTTTTATAAAATGAGCCCATAAAAATCTAGAAAACATGACTCAAAAGCCGGTATGACCTCAGTGTAGTACAGACTTATTTTTCTACCACCTCTGACCTCTAGTTTTGATATTAATATCATTTAAATACTTTTTCAAAGGATATGGTGGAAACTAGGAGTTGGGTGAGTGATTTTTTTCATAGTCAAATTCCCAGAACTTTTTGTTAGCACCTTATATATGCATATAGCAAAAAAGCTTTAAACTTTTTTGTTTCTTTCCTTGCAATCAATGCCCACAGTTTCCTCTACAACACACTATTGTCCATGACACATGTAACATTTTCCACACAGCAGTAAACTGTTCTGCCTGTTGCCTCATTCTCTCCATATTTATGTATCATTGACAGCTAAAATTTACATATGTGCAAAGATAATCTAGCAAGAGAGTAATGATGCTGGGATCTGTTTTAAATATGTAACCTGTAAAACCACCATTTCTTACTTCTTTGGACAGTTTACACATGAAAGATATTCAAATCTTTGTTCATGTTGGAGGTAAATTATTTTATTCTAGCATTGCAAAAAATGTATGCAACCTTGCCATCTGTAGTAGAGTTCACTACAATACAAAGAGCATCCTCCAGCTGACTTTCATAAGACATCTGACAAGCTAACTTCTTTTGCAAAAAACACTTATGATCACCTTGTAATTTTTCTTTCAATTACTGTCAGAGAATAGAAATAAACAAAACTTTATATAATTTACAATATTTACATTGTTTGGACTGTTGTCCTCATCTTTATTGTCATATTCACAACATTTTGACCATTGTATTAAACTCACAACTGAGACATTAGGTTTATAAGTTCCAAAAATTCTTTCACAGATAAAAGTATTGGTTGGAGTAATCCAGTGATTTAACATGAAGAGTTGTGAGTTTAATTGTGATTCAAATGGTGAATTGAGTTACTAAAAGGAAATAACTGAAACTGAGACATCAAGATAAAGCCTGGCATGTGGAACTAAAACACACTCCCCCAGTGGAGGAACTAAAGGGTTCGGTTTGAAGTTCCAATGTATATCACCTGAAATAGGCCAGAACATAAAAATATTGTGAACTTGGCAATAAAGATGAGGACAACAGTCCAAACAATGTAAATAGTGTAAATAGTTACAAGACCTCTTCTCAGAAATATAGACAGAAATTTATATAACCTAAAGAGATATTGATTTAAAATCTTGCTTTTTTACAAATTCCTAAAATAAACCAAATCCAGCTAAAAAAATATCCACCTATTCCCAGCTGATCACCAGTTATGCAGCAACAAATTTGATCAGTACTTAGAGAGGCGATTACTTAGAAACAATGAGGAAGTTACTTAAGACCTTCGGCTATATTAAGCCAAGCTTAGGAAGTAACTATACACTGGTTTCCTTTTTCAAAGAATGAAATAATTACTAATTATTTGAGTATTTCTACTTAATATCAGATAGTGATGATGCCATGACAGATTTATAGAAAGGGAAAATCCAAAATGTGAGTTGTTCATCAAGGATGTCAAAATTAAACAAGTGTTCAAATTCTTTTTTCCAAAAAACTAAGGAAGATGCAATGAAATCAAAAATTAACACCAGAAATGAAAAAGAAAAGAGTTAAAGACAGCTATGTAATATCTACCCACAACTAATTATAGCAGTGAATGCTGGATAGATTCAATAGAATTATAAAAAGAAAAAAAAACTCTTGAAGCAAGTGAAATGTGATTCTACCAATGAATGTTGAGAATAACTTGAACAGAAGATGTAAGAAAAAGTGAAGTTCTAGGAAGAAGGAACTACAAAGAAGCTGTTGCTAACAATCAGAAAAAATTCATTTAATTGGTTTATTTTTTATGGCTTATCAACCTTTGCAAGTTATTTAAAGCCAGAAAATGTTTTCAGTTTGTGAAGGAATTTTTGGCAATAATAACAATTTATTGATATAAGTACTGCTAATTAACCCATAGCTGGTGGGGATGAGAAGAAGTCAGTTCATGCCTTTCCCAAGGTTCTTTGTAAATGAATATAATGAACTTGACTGGAATTGAAAGTTGGCCCTGATTTACAATTCTGAGCCATTATCCATTACACCACCCACACATCCAAGTTTACAGGAACTGGTATTTCCAAGCAGTCACCTATCTAGGTACTGACCAGGCTCAACATTGCTTAATTTCGGTGACCTTCAAGAACTGGAGTTTCAATATGATATGCCAATCAGAAAGAGACAGCTAAAATATTTGGGACACAATGAGAAAAGAAAGCTTAAAATTCACAGGACAAAATCCCTGGCAAAGGGAGCAGTAATGAGCACTTTGTGTAAATGGATAGAGGAATAATTACCAAAAAAAAAAAAAAAATGGAAGAAAGGTCACAGAGCAAAGAAGATTGATGACAGCAACAAAATATGATTTCTGTTTTTTTTTTTTTTCAGTGAATTAAAAAAAGATAAATTTAGTCATTTTCTTCTTAATAACTCTGATGAAAATGGTTAAAATAGCAGTGCTAAAACTTAATAAATAAAATAACTTTACAGTTTAGTTTTATGATTTAATAAAAATTAATCTGAAACAAAGATGTATTAAACATTTTAACCAGTTGATTGAAATTTACATTTTTAACCAAAGTTTCTAATAAAACTTGTGTAAGGAAAAGAATCCTCAAAAATGAATAACTGACAATGCTTCCTGTAAGAAATTCATCTGATATTACCAAATAGTACAACACTAAGATTATGAGTGAATCTAATGAGAGTAGTGAAAAGCAATAGAAATAAGATGAAAAAATACTAGTCAAAAATTCATAATTGACAATATTTTATAAAATGAATTCAAAATAATATTAATCCCAGGGTTTAAAAAGAAAAATAACGGTTTAAAAATTATCAAAATGAATTAACAAAAGATATACAACATATGAGGAATCAGTTCTATTTGCATGACATGATATTTCATTTTGCCCAAATATAAAAGAAAAGTATATTTATGTATTAAATAGACAAGGATATTCAAATAGAAAAAATAATTGTGGGACAAAGGATTAAATATAATGAGCATTTCTTGGTGGAGAAATTATCTAATTTGCTTTGATAATTATCTATACCAGAATGAAAAATCATGAAATTCTATCCTGGATTACTTGCAAGAGTTATAGAAAAAAAAAACTACTTTAATAGCATACAAAATCAGAAAGTATTGTTGCTAGTATCAACAAAGATATGATACTCTTTCTTTTCTTTTTATTAATTAGTATTAGGTAATTTTAGCTGAGCATGGTCAAACTTTTATTGAGAGTTTTATTCATGCTTATTTCATGTTTAAAATGTAACCCTAATGAGAGAGAGAGAATTTTTCAATTACTTTCCATAAGTTGAGATATATGTGAACATAATTGTAAGTTATTTCTTTAGGGGGCTATCCTTAATCTCTTCTTACAGGAGTAATTTTATTGTTATATTTTTTGAATACTTAATAAAGCTGTGTAAAAATCCTAGACTTGTTTCATGCTTAAAATATGTTTTATTTCTAGACTGAGCTTCATCATGCTTAAGCTTCATGCTAATAAAAAATCATAGTATAATATTTTTTGTTTTAAGATTGTCATGTTATACATATATTTCAGATTTTACATACATTTATTTATTTAGAATGATGAACTGTTTGATGCACAGTTAAAATTCTATCTTTTTTCTTAATAATTTGTAATGAATATTACGGATCTTTCTCAAGGAATAGAATCTATGACAATGTGTTCATATTTTGTTTCTTTCTTCAAAAGACAAATGTAATAATTCATAGATTAGATACTTTATATACCTAAGTTTCCAGTAGCAGATGATCAACATGCCTATTCAATATATGTTCCTGTATAGCATAAAAATAAATCTGCTTGAATGTCTGCCTGTGTCATCAAATTTTATTGGGAATAAACATGGAAATTTCAATGAAAAATAAGCAAAAGTTAACTGCCATTTGTTTTCATAATTACATTCTTCCAACAAAAGAAAATGGGTTTTGTTCTAAAGAAATTATGAAATGTTTTGAAAAAGTAGAAATTTCACAATTTTTCATGTTCCCTCGGATTAACCTGATCATTTCTGTTAAGGAATGTCAAACAATTTTTATTTATATTGTAAATATATTTACACACACATGCAGAAACACGCTGCATACACTAAAAAGCACGGATATTTTATCATACAAGTTTCTGATGTATTAAAACCTTTTAAAGTTTTAAAGTAAACAATATATAAATCATATGCAAGGGCCTATGATTATATAAATACTATGGCCTATGATTATTTAAATTTTCCTATTACTTGATCTATGATTCTTTAAAGTTTCAGTACTTATGCTTTTATAAAACCTTTTGCTCCAGGACATGTGAATATATAAAACTATTCCAAGATAAGGGAAATTATAAAACTTCATATTTGAAGACTTGTGAACCTATAAAACTTCCTATTTCAGTACCCTTATACTCATAAAAATTTCTATTTTAATACCTGTGGACCTATAAAACACCCTATTATAAAATGTATGATCTCACAAAACTTCTTATCCCAGTACCTGAGATCCTATAAAACTTCCTATTCCAAACCTTATGATCCAATAAAACTTAATCTCTTCCTGCTAACATGTTACATTCCCATTATACCAATATCTGTAAGAATTTATTTAAAATATACAACAAAGATAGTTTTCTAAAGTTAAAAACAGATAAAAGAATAACTTTTTTTTTTACATTGTATTAAACCGAGATGATGATTAAACATAATATAACCATTCAATTATCAAAATAGAACTTTTATAATAAAGTCAAATGTAATTTTGAATTTTCAAAGGATGAATAAAATCATTTTTCTAAGTTAAAACCACTAGAGTGCACTGGTT